CAGACTGCTACCGATGAAAGCCAATATCTCAAGTTAGAGTATATGCATGAATTCATTTACAAACATTACATCATTTGTAATTGAAATCTTATGTATATGTATTCAACCCATATTACATCATGTTTTTAAATTTGATTTCAACAGTGACAATTAAGCCCCTGATCGTCTATATTAATTGTACACACGATAAATTTGATTCATTATCGAATCTTTAATATTCATCTCTCTAAATGATATAGATTATATAATAGATCCAAAGGGTGTATTAGTTGTAACTAGAAGAGAACCCGCGCATATGCGCGGATCTTGTTTTAATTTATATTTTAAATAATACATTTTAAGAATTTGTATTGAATTTTATGTTTACTATCAATTTTTTGTGTTTAAAATATTTATATTTTCTTTGATTTATTATTGATAATATATTATTTGTAATCTTTTCTACATCAGTTATGTCAAATAGTCTAATTTTTTCCTAAGATAATCAGAAACTAAAATTTATTATTTAATTTTTTATATGAAAACGTAATAGTTCACTTAAAAATATACGTTGAATATCAGAGAAGAATATACATTTTAATTTTATTTGGTTAAATATATTTGATTGATTCCATCTTTTTTATTTTTAAAAAAACATGTATGATATTTTTGTGTTGACACTCTTCTTTTTACTATTATTTTTAAATAATTTTTATTCGTTTATTAAATATTCTTTGTGTTTTATAATTTTATGTTGAAACTTTATATAATACTATTTTAAACTTCTTAACTTATTTCAGTCACAATATTTTTTTTCACTTGAATAAAATTTATTTATATTTTTAGTTTAAAAATAAAGTTTAAATCACTTGAAAATAGAATGATGTATTTAAAAGTTTTGTATTATATAGTATTTATAAATTTTTATATATTAAAAGTAGATTTAAAATTTATTGTAATATATATACATATATATATATATTAATATTTATTTATGTTTTTTAATGTGTTTGTTTTAAATTTCATTAGTTATTTATTTTATTAAAAATGGGAGAGGTGTCATTTTCTCCATTGCTGAGGTGTCATTCAGCTCGAGAAAATTGATTGACTTTTATATATAAGACTAGGAGAGAACCCGCACATATAAGCGCGGATCTTGTTTTAATTTATATTTTAAATAATATCTTTTTATAATTTGTATTGAATTTTATGTTTATAATCAATATTTTGTATTTAAAATATTATATTTTCTTCATTTTTTTCTTGATGATATATTATTTGTAATATCTTTTACACCTAATTGTGAAATAGTATAATTTTTTATTACAAGATAATAAGGAATTAAAAAACTACTATTTTAATTTTTGTATAAAAACGTAATCGTTCACTTAAAAATATAAGTTGAATATGAGAGATAAATATTTATTTGTTATTCAATTCTCATATTTTTTATTCTTGTAAATCTTACTAATATAATATTTGTTAACTTTATTAATTTTACATTTTGAAATTTTTTGGTTATATATATTATTGATTCCAACTTTTTTTAATTTAAAAAGCATGTATGATATTTTTATGTGGAAATCCTTCTTTTTACTATTATTTTTAATAATTTTTTAATCATTTATTTAATATTCTTTGTGTTTTATAATTTTATTAGTTGGAGTTTTATATAAGATTATTTTAAACTTTAAACTTATTAATTTATTTTTACTTGCATTAAAATTTCAATTATATTTTTAATTTGAAAATAAAGTTTAAATCACTTAAAAAAAATAGAATGGTGCATTTAAAAATTTTTATATTATATAATATTTATAAATTTTATATATTGAAAATCAATTTGAATTCATTGTAATATAAATATATATTAATGTTTATTTATATGTTCTTTAATATATTTGCTTTAAATTTAATGAATTAATTATTTATTAATATTTTAAATTAAGAGATGTCATTTTCTCCATTACTGATGTGTCACTCAGCTGGAGAGAATTAATTGTTTTTTATATATAAGATTTTTAAATGTCTAAATGCTCTGAAGTAAATTTGAAATGCGTTGAAGTGTTGATGTTATGACCTACGGCGCACTCTTTCGATCGAGTTTTATTCAAATTTGTGACTTATAATTGTTATCCAAATTTTTTTTGTCAGTTTCATCCTTCTTACACAATTTCTTCGGGTTCAACTTCTTAACTACTGGATTTGTATTATCCTTAGCAAGAAAATAATACTGTGATAGTTCACCTTCTGAACATTCATCTTTTGAAACAGGAAAAAAATGTCTTATCTAAATTATGTTTACTATTCTACAAAGATAAATAGTTTTAATAGAGAGATGATCAAATCCTCGTGATTCAATGATGACACACCAAATGCAAACATTATACGATCATCAAACTTTTTTTAATTGTTTTATGCGCTGTCTTTATTGGCTCACTTTTAGCTTATCTGCGTTTGTCCACAAAAGATTTCAAGAGTTCATTACTTTTCTTTTGACGGCTACTAAAATAATTTATTACAAGCTCAAATAATTGCCACAATTTATAGGTTATTGCGATAATTTCAAAAGGTGTAAACTTCAAGACTGTCACCCGCGCGCAAAGTTACACAACAACTACAATTACAGAGTTGAACAGTGATATGAACTGTTATTACTTATTATCGCAGGTTTCAACCACGTCTTTCGTAATTAAAAAACAATTTTTTAATAGAAATAGGTCTCTCAAAATGCTGAAGACGTCGCCTAAATTAAAACTGCAAGAGACGGTATTGAAAGACATATGGACATATATGATTCGCTATTGAAAATTGGGAGAAATTTGTTTTTTCCTTCCTCATTCTATTTTCCTCGTCTTCTCCGTAAAAGGGTCTATACAATATTCAACTAAAATACATAAATCTCTTATATGGGTCTCAAGCCCAACTATATTATTAAAATATTGTATGAGAGACCTTAATGAATCTCTAACCATCTTTAACGCCGTCTTTAGCTAGTTTTTAATAGAAACCTAATAATTAAAAATTGAGGTTGCGTTTCTAATTTGAGAGAAACGTCTCTATTTTGGCGACTTTTGAAATTTTTGGAAACGTTTCTTCTCAAATGTGGCAACATCTCATTCGTTGAAGAAATTGGGAAAAAATTGTTTTTTTCCTTCATCTTCTTTCATTTTTTTCGATAGTTTTCAATTTGCGACTTTGCTCAATTGCTCTCTTCTCCCACGAAATCGACGAGAACATGATTTGTGTTTTTTTCGGCGGCTTCTGAGTAATCTGCATCGGAGCTTGTGGATCCTCGTGACGGCGGTCGCAGGTAATCCTTGTAAACCCTAACCCAATCTCTCTCCTCGATCTTCTGGTTCTATTTGGTTTAGAGATGAACGCCTGTATGATTTGTTTGATTTGGGTTGGGTTTTAGTACAATTTACCGGTGGTATTGGAAGACAATATCGATTGGTAATAGAATCTGTGAATCATTTGTGAATATTTTACTTTGTTTAAAGCCCTGATTTTGGATTATAGAGAAGGAATTTTGGATTGTGTAGCCCTCTGAGACGAGCTCATTTGATCTCTCGCTGAGAGATGGTAGAGTTAAATAATGAGCTCATTTGATCTCACTACTGTTGTAGCCCTCTGAGACGAGGTGAAGTTAATATGCAATATCCTTCTGCAACAAGAAACTATGCAGGAGGTGTAATGGATTCTTGGCACATGGGTTTATTCAGCAGAAGCTCGAGACAGCAACAACTGATGAGAAAAACATGGTGTATGAGGAGATCATGCCACATGCTCTTACCCTGAAGAATTCGATGAAAAATTTGATCAAAATGTAATAGATTGTGTGTCATTAATTATTGATTTAGGGATCTTGTGGATCCTGCTGGAGTTTCAGCACTACAGGTGCGCTTGAAGGCGCTCACTTCCTCGCAACAGGGCCATTTATGTTGTTGTTTTGCTCACCAATCCTTGTTTGGAAGATTCACGTCTGTTTGTTTTGTAGTGTGATCCAGAACAAGCAGGTTCATGTGACTCTGGTTGCAACGGTGGGCTAATGAACACCGCCTTTGAGTACACGCTCAAAACTGGAGGGCTCATGCGAGAGGAAGACTATCCATACACTAGCACTGATGGCAGGACCTGCAAGTTAGACAAGTCTAAGATTGTTGCTTCTGTTTCCAACTTCACTCTTGTCTCTATCAACGAAGATCAGATCGCTGCAAATCTTGTCCAAAACGGTCCTCTAGCTGGTAATAAAATTGCCTCTCATTTCCAACTTCATCGCCTCTTTGTCTTTTTTAATAAACAAGTTGAAAACCTGTAAATAAAATTAATGAAATGCATTTCTCTGTGTATATTTTACCTGCTAAATCACAAGAACACTCGCTTTATCACGGATTAGAAACATCTCAAAGAAGACAAAGGAAGGAAAGAAACGACACACACTCTCTTCTTGTTAAATTGTATGTTTTGCTTGTTTTAATTTAAATGTATTACATAAGCTTTAATCAATTAAGTATTTATATTAAATTGTATGTTTAGTTTGTTTAATTTAAATGCATATTTGGGAAAGTTTTAATCAATAAATTTTAATTTATAACAAAATGTTTTTTTTTATTTTGTTACAAATTTTGTTTTTTAAAGAGACTCATATGAATCTCTCCCATTGCATAGCCCAAAATAAAAAGTCTCTAAAACCTGTTTCTAATCTTACTTTTAGCTCAAAAACTATTATAATATAGGTCTAGAGACTCATAAATGTCTCTCCCATTGAGGTTGCTCTTAGAGCATGAGCATTGGCGGCCCTAACCCAAATTTTAGTGGGTTGCATAACATTATTTTGTGTTAAAAAATTAGAAAGGGAGCCCAAAAAAATCATGGATCGACCCATAGCTAAGCAATTTAAGGGCCGAGCCATAATAAAGCCCTTGTGCGACGTGTCAATTTTTAATAGGATGAAAGAAAAAAAAACGAGTTCTCGCGTGTGGGGCAAAAAAAATCCGAGGGTTTGACATTTTGCGAGAAAAAAAACACCCGAGAGCTCTCTGTAGGCGATTTCGATGGCGATTGATTGCGAATTCTTCTCGGAGCAAATCGACGGCGGTTTCGACTGTTTTCCGGCGGATTGGATCATCGAAGGGCGAAGGTTAGTCGTTTTTGTAGGATTCGTTGTGTTTTATGCGTGTTTGTTAGGTTGTTTTCGAAATTAGGGTTTTGAATTGGGGAAAAAATTGGGGGTTTTTGTGTTGAATGAAATTTGACTAATCTCAGTTAATAATACTCCTGAATATTGTTGTTTGAAAGCGTTTACATGAACATAAGACTGTATGTTGTGAACTGAAGTATATGATCGGTTCTTTGTATTTCGGTGAAGTATTTTTGAGTTTAAATTCTTTTGTTACTGATGTTTATGATCGGTTGGTGATGTATATGATAGGTTTTGTTTAGTGTATCCATATATATCATGTGAGTTTGATGATTCAATTGGATTCAAGTATATTATCGGTTTTTTGTAATCGGTGAAGATAATTTGGAGTTGTAATTCTTTGGTTACTGATGTTTATGATCGGTTAATGCTGTATATGATAGGTGTTTGCATTTATATCATGTTATTGTTAATGATGTTGTTGTTGTGAATTTTTTTTATGATCGGTTATTGTTGTTGTGAAATTTTTTTGCGAGTGTACATGGAGAGAGAGCACTAGGGATTCTTGATGCTGATGTTACTTCCTTCTAAACACAGCCCAAGGTAAGTCTTCTTCAAACCAACAAACTTGTAGTTAGCATCTTGTTTAGGGTTGATAGTTGCTTTCTTTGTATATGATCGCATAGTTAGCATTGAGTGTAAATGGTGGTAGTTGTCTGTTAGGTGAGGAGTAATGGTTTAGTAAGGTGTTGCTTAATTTTAAGAAACATTTAGTGATTTAAAAGCTGTCTCAAAATCACATCAAACATCTCAAAAATTAACTATTAAGCTAACACGTAGTAGCTTTCATTAAAGCTGCTTATTAAATGTACCAAACTCTTAAAAAACATCACAAACACTAAGTCTTTCAACTCTCTTTCAAATATAGAACTCGCTTGTTCTAAAAAACAGCACAAACTCTAAAACTTCTTAAACACTTATCTTCTAAAATAAATCTTCTCTTCACAAACTTTTGTTCAAACTCAAACGTTTGTCTTTCCTCTTTCACAAACTTCCTAAATCTAACTCTTCTATTCTAAACACTTGTCTTACAAAAACACATGGATTCTATGAACCCAAACGGTAGCTCACAGGGTTTTGTGAACCTCTTAACAAGGCAAGAGGAACACACACTCTGTTTTTCGCAGAGTGTAGACCCTGGTTCATCTCAAGTCCCAATTTTTTCAACCCAACTCTTCCCTGACCCGAGTCCTGCAGCTGAAGAACGAAAAGAGAGGAGGAAGTGGTCACCTGTAGAAGATGTTGTACTGATAAGTGCATGGCTCAACACCTCCAAAGACCCAATCATCAGCAATGAACAAAAAGCTGGTGCTTTTTGGAAAAGGATAACAGAAAGTTTCAACAACTCTAAGAAGATGGCGAATGAACCAGATAGAGAGGCTGGTCAGCTCAAACATAGGTGGCAGCGTATTAATGACCACGTTTGTAAGTTTGTAGCTTGTTATGAAACAGCTTTGAAGCAGCAAAGTAGTGGACAAAATGAGAACGATGTGATGAAGGCAGCTCACCACATCTTCTACAATGATCACATGTTCAAGTTCAACCTTGAACATGCATGGCGAGAACTCAGACATGACCAAAAGTGGTGCTCTGTTTCTGCTGCTAAAGAAGGTGGAAAGCCAAAAAGAAGGAAGGTCGATGCAACTACAGCTCATTCTGAAAGCTCACAAACCCAAAGCCTTGATGTAGAAGAAGGCTTCGAAGGAAGCAATATGGAGAAACGGCCACAAGGGGTTAAGGCGGCCAAGGCTGCAAAGAAGAAGGGAGTGGGATCATCTTCCAACAAAGAAGGAGAAGTTGATATGAAGAAGCTACAAACAATGTGGGATCTCAAGGATAGAGACCTTGCCATGAAGGATAAGATCACTAACAAAAAACTGCTTAACACTCTTCTCCTTAAAACCGGACCATTAACAGAGAGAGAAGAAGCATTGAAGACTAAGTTTATTAATGAATTATTGATGTAGTTGGTGTATGACCCATGAATCGGCTGTGTAGTTTTTGTGTTTGTATTTGATGTCAATGTAGTATGTTGCTTAACTTAAAATGAATCGGCTATGTAGTTTTTATGTTGCTTAACTTAAAATGTAGTTTTTATGTTGCTTATCTTAAAATGTAGTTGGTGTATGACCCTTTAGTCTTTTTTTGTCAATGTATACAATTATGCAAGTTTTTGGTACATTCTTCTTATTAATAAAGCAGGTATGAATGGTGGGAGCTTGAAGACCGTAGCTTTTGCTCTGAGAAATGGACCTACAAGGACGATCAAAGGGAGCTTGAAGACCGTTCCTTTTCGTATAGTTATTGTAAACCACAAGTTATAAGTTTTGGAATGTAATGTTTTGTCATTTTTTTGTACACAACAAGTTATATGTGATGGTTGTAAACTCTTATCTTTTTTGTAATCCACAAGTTATATGTGGTGGTTGTCATTTACTCTTCTCTATTTATAGCTGTAAACGTCAACATAGTTTACTCATCAACCAATAAAAATACCCATTTTCTCTGAATATTTTGTCCATCTTCTCTAAAAATACCCATCTTCTCTAAAAAATATCCTTTCTTCTCTAAAAAATATGGCTTCATCTTCCAACAATGATTCTGATGATTCATTTGATGAAGCGGTTGATGAAGTTTGTGAACAAGCATTTGATAATATGTTTTACGCAATGTTAGATCATCAAACCGCAACGACGCAGAAGAGGAAAAAACGTGCATATATAGAACGAGAACGCGAGCAAGGCCACCACCGCCTATGGAATGACTATTTCTCTGAAGGTTCAACATATCCGCCACATGTTTTTCGACGTCGTTTCCGAATGAACAAGGAATTGTTCATGCACATTGTCGATCGCCTATCAAATGAAATTCTGTACTTTCAACAAAGAAGAAACGCTCATGGAAGGTTTGGTCTATCCGGACTACAAAAATGTACGGCAGCAATTCGTATGATGGCATATGGTTGTCCGGCTGATGCAGTTGATGAATATCTCCGTCTAGGTGCAAGTACTGCACTGTTATGCTTGAAAAATTTCACTGAAGGAATAATTCAATTGTTCGGAGATGAGTACCTAAGAAGACCCACGCCCGCAGATCTTCAACGATTACTCAACGATGGAGAGAGACGGGGATTTCCCGGGATGATGGGAAGCATAGATTGCATGCATTGGGAGTGGAAAAATTGCCCTACCGCTTGGAAAGGGCAATATACACGAGGTTCTGGAAAACCGACAATTGTCTTAGAGGCGGTAGCATCACAAGATCTTTGGATATGGCACGCATTTTTTGGACCTCCAGGTACCCTAAACGATATTAACGTACTAGAACGTTCACCTGTATTTGATGACATTTTACAAGGTCGAGCTCCTAAAGTTCAATACTGGGTTAACGGACACAAGTATAAGATGGGATACTACCTCACCGACGGTATTTATCCCAAACGGGCAGCTTTTATACCAACTATTCCACTGCCTCAAGATGATAAAGCATCATTATTTGCCACTACCCAAGAATCTACCCGAAAAGATGTCGAGCGTGCTTTTGGAGTTCTACAAGCTCGTTTTGCAATTGTAAGAAATCCAGCTCTTTTCTGGGATAAGGAAAAGATTGGCAATATTATGCGTGCATCTATCATATTGCATAATATGATAGTAGAAAATGAACGGAATGGATACACTCAATATAACATAGAAGAATTCCAACAAGGGGAGTCAAGCAGAACTTCACAAGTAGACAATGAGTACTCTACAGAGACATCGTCAAACATCGGAAACCTTATCGGGATACGAAATCAAATCCGTGATCCACAAATACATGAACGCTTGAAGAAAGACCTAGTTGAAAATATATGGAACAAATTTGGCAATTCTCAAGAGTAGAACTACAAGTTTTACATTTCAAATATCTGTATTTTGAATTTTAATAATTTCATGTACTGTTCTATAATCTTGTTTAATATGTAATGAATGTAAAATTAAAGATTAAGTTAATTTTTGTAAAAAAAATATTAATTTTTTATTGCTAAGCAACTTTCTTACAATTCCTCTAATGCAACATTTGATGATAAAAGTTGCTTAATTATCCTTAAACCCAAAAAAAATATTATATTAATGCTAAGCAACTTTCTAATAGTTCCTCTAATGCACATGCTCTTAGTGTCCTTCACATACGGTACAGACTTCATTGATTGGTTAAATAAAAAAAAAATTTGATCTTTATATTTTCCTTTTTCCAAATGAACGTATATCTAATTTGTTGGATTTTGTATTACGAAGACTTTTTTTCATTACAAAGACTTATGGTTTTGATATATGTATATTTTTCATCACATTACAAATTAAAGACTTATGGTTTTGATACTTATATTTATCCTTTTACTAATGTACGTATCTCATTTGTTTGTATTCTATTTTCATATTTTTGTCGTTTGAACGTAATGAAATTTTCTTCTTGTTCTTGTAATGATTCTTATAATAAAAGCAACTATATACTAGATATATTATTATTGCGTATGGAATATCTTTAATTTTTTTTACCAAGAAAAAATAACATGAATATAAAACTTCAAACTTATGATATGCATATCTATATGATTCGACCAAACTAATTAGAACATTCTTAAGTAATCATTCATACGCATGTGCGTGGGTATTATTCATCTAGTTACCATAAAACCAAACTGAAATTTATTTTGGTTTTAATTTGGTCGAATACTCATACGGTCATACCTAATTCAGAGACTCAGTATTATAAATCTTTGATTTTTCTTTAGAAATTGTGTATCAAAAATAATTAGTATACGTACGTAAGAATTTAATTAGTTATTTCCGCGTAAAATGCGTACCTAAGCAAAGTTTTTTTAAAAAAAAATTACAGGGTTTTGTATTCGGTTCAATCTCTTCTATCAATTCGGAGGGTTCCCCGTTTCATGTAAGCTTTTTTGTTTGAGTCGTATTACTATTATCTTGATTAAGATGTCTACTGGTAGTCTCGCTTTTGTACTGATCATTTGACTCTTTAGTAAGAAATCTCATTCAGTGTTAAAAAAAAAGAAGAACACTTCAAAAAAAAAGAAGAAGAAGACAAAAAAAAAACTGATGAAATGATCATTAATGAGTTAGAGAAAAAGACGAGGAGTTTTAGACGAGAAAGTCTTGTTCGATTAGGGTAAGCGTTTAAAGGCTGAAGAAAAAACCCACAATGGAGAGGTAGATTAGGAGAAGACAAACGAGAAGCCTAGGAATTCGGTAAACTTTAAGTGTAGAAACACAATTAATAAGAAGCACATGCGTTCTTTGGAATTACTACATAATATAATATTTACATAATAATATCAGTGTCCCTTATTGTATAATAATATATTTTCTAAACCCAAACCCAATAAAACACTATAATACACTGAAAGTTGATCGATCTTATAGCATTATTGGGGTCAAGTATCTTCCTATATAAAGAAAAAACAATGGTTTTTGGTGACTGTTGTTTAGTTGTTATTATGTTGTTAGGAGGTTATGCAATTGCATTGGTTCATGGTCAGGGCGAAGGTATTACTGCTCGAACACGATGATTTTCCTTTGGTATAAATATATTCGATCTCGTTTGTCTTGCCGATTCATGTACATTTGTCCTCTTGTGTTGGACAGGATTTCTAAGCTTAAACTGTGGAGGTCCTGGCTACAGCGATGACTCCACGAAGATAGACTATGTTTCTGATGCGGGATACATTACAAGTGGAGTTAACGGGACGATCAAGCGTGCGTACCAGGTTGCATGCACATCCTAGGAATCTATGGTATCTCAGAAGTTTTCCTGATGGAAAACGAAATTGCTACTACTTTGATTAGCCCAAGAGGGACAAATACCTCATCCGGGCAGATTTTCTTTTATGGAAATTATGATGGCCTGGGTCAACCGCCCCAGTTTGATTTGTATGTAGGGTCTGTCTTCCATGTGACTGTATTCACAAATACGTCGGAAACTGCGACGTGTGGATAAAAAAAACCTATAACACTACAGGATTACTTCAAGTCAAATATAGATACGCCTTTGGCTCAACTTCCAAGAACTTGAGGTATTTTAATTTTTTTTTTTTAAGAAAACAAAAATATAAATTTAATCTCCAAAAAGTGTATATGCGTCTTTTTACCTATTCGTGACCTCTAAATTCATATATCAGGTCCGGGAATTCTTTTGATCGTCGTTGGGATCCTCATTAGGAATCATTCGAAAACTTCACCACGATATTAAAGACCAAGCTTCCCGTCGAGATAAGCACATACCAAGAACAAGAACCACAACTCTCCATGCAGACCGCTGTGGTTGGATCCCAAAAATGCAAGCGAGCCCATTGAATTGGCCTTCGATTTACCGTATCTAGAGGCTGACGCTTACGTCTACATGTACTTGGCGGAACTCAGAGGCGTTAAAAGATGGTGAAAGACGAGAGTTCACAATCTATAACGATGGAAATGTTTGGGTGCCCACTTTTAGTCCTCTTTACTTGAAGACAACACCGATATTCAAAACTATCCGGCGGCTATGTCAATAGACGGTTTTTACCATTTCGTGTTATAGAGAACAAAGTCTTCCACTCTTCCTCCTCTTATCAATGCTATAGAGGTCTACATGCGCAGGGATTTTTCAGGGAAAGATACAAATGAAGAAGATGGTACGTATATGCATGGAAATCTACTTTATATATATATATATATACTTTATATATATATATATATATCTTGGTCAGTACATAATTAATTTACCTACATGTATGATATTCCAGTGACCGCGATCAGAAATGTGAAAAAGAGCTACACGTATAGCTTGAACAAAACCAGCTGGCAAGGAGATCCGTGTAGCCCTCCCACTTATATGTGGGATGGTGTCAAGTGCAACAACGATTCTAACTCTATCCCAAGAATCACGTCTCTGTAAGTTTCCTTTCTCTGTTTCCATAGAATTAAGACGAGCATTAATTATTTAATTGCGCTCATAAAATAATGTTTTGTTTTTGCTGTTATTTCTCTTGTTAATATGATCACAACTAGAAACCTATCGTCAAGTCAGCTGGAAGGAGTGATAACACCTGATATAGTCCACATCAATCAATTAGTTGTTTTGTGAGTTTATGTATTAATTATTTTTTTTTTTTTTGGGTTTAAAGTGGCATTTACCTATAACTATTATTATTTATATTCCACCTGGGATGCTCTTTTAATGCTTTTTTTTTTTATTGTGCCAAAACAATGATATCAGGGATTTATCAAATAACAACTTGACTGGAACAATCCCAGGATTCTTGTCTCGGATGACACATTTGAAAGTCCTGTAAGTTTTGTTAATCAATTCAAGTATCTTTGTGTCATTTACAACCGATTTCCTAAATAGGTATTTTCATTTTTTTCTTGGATCTACATCCAGAAACTTACGTGGCAATAAGTTCAATGGTACAATTCCTGTTGTACTCCAAGAAAAATCAGAAAAGGGAATGATAACGTTAAGGTAAAAACAACTATGCATTTGTTATTTGGTCGCAATGGTTTTTAGTGTGTTCAGATCAGATCATCAGGGGTATGGATATCCTTTGCTCGAAAATTATGATAAAAGAAATAAAGAATGATATCCCACATACAACCCTACGAATAGAGATCGTTATTAATTATATAAAAATTGAGAGTTAAAACATCAAAAAATTCATATAATTTTTTCTTAATTCTCCAACTAGATTGCTCTGTTGGGTTAGATAACCAATATTATTGGACCGGGCCATGTGATATTCTTGTTTCTCATGCATTAATATTTTTGTTGTTGTTAAAGTTGTCATGCATTAGATATATATAATATTAACTTACAAAAATATATACTATAATAATTTTAACATCTCTTATTTTATCTTTATTAATTTGGATTACATAATATCTACATAATATCTGCCATAGTAATCTGAATAAGTTATTTATAAACTAGGTTTTGTGGAACCTATATACAATTACAATTACATCGTTCGTAGATAAATATATGCCCGTCTCAGTACAAAAAAACATTAAAAATGATTACTAGTCCAAACTCCGAGCCCTCTGTTTTCAAAGAACACAAGTATATACATTAAAAAATGATTGATCGATTCAGCAATTATGATTAGAAGCAGCAAGAAAATATATAGTACACGAAAAGAAAGAGAGCAAACAAGTGAAAGATTTTGAATATTAGGTGCCTTCCTCAAGTAGTCAAGTATTAATCGAATATTCCACTAGGATTGGATTATGGATATGAACACGAGATTTTTTTTTTGACCAAAGGTTTATATAAACACGAGACTTATAAAGCTTTACGAAGGAAGTGAAGGAATAAAACTTAATCAAACCAGTTTTGATTCATAATAATATATAGGTTGATATTATGGAATAATAAATTAGACTGAGTTCTGGAGTGAATACTTCGGTTTTTGGTTTGGTTTCAGTTTGATTTTTTTTTTTTCGGTTTTATAAAAACTCAAACCATATAAGAATTGCATATAATTTGGTTTGGTATGGTTTAATTGATTTTTTTATTTTATAAAATTAAAACCATGTAAAAACTATTTGCATTTCAGTTCATTTCGGTTATAGATTTTTTTTTTATTCTGTAATTTTAAATAATGAGAGAAGAAAATATAGTAAACAACACAACCTCCTAAGAACAATTTTGATTAAAAAAAACTTGAATAGGTGTTATTAATTTCTAATTCCATTTAATATCACATGAAAAACACAGAAAATCATGTAAAAAATATTGTTTGATTAGAAACACAAAACCACAACTGTTTTACGGAAAAAATTGTTTTGTTTGTTTTGTTTAAAGTTTTTATTATTTTTTCAATTTTGTTTTTAAATTATACATTTTT